AAGGATGACCTTGGCTTTCTAGAAAGAGTTTTGTTATGGCTACATAGTATGCAACTCCTTACAAACCCCACTCCCATTTTCCCACAAGAGAAAATGCATAGTAGAATAATAGAAAGCGTGGCAGGCCAAAGATCCAAAAGAAAAGATGTCTGCAGGCCTGACACAATGATCATGTCTCGTTCAGTCTTCTCTCCTCCAGGTTTAGCCTATACAGTGTTACTCATAAGTTTTTCTTCAATTATCATTTTGCTGGCTTTTCTCTAGCAGAGTCTAGTTAATTTGTCAGTGTGTTTTCTAAAATGGAAGGACAAGGTGCAGTCTGATGATTGCTAAATAGAGAGAGTTAACATTGTACTTCTGTTGATGAGCTTAGACCTCCTTCCTTCCTTCCTTCCTTCCTTCCTTCCTTCCTTCCTTCCTCCTTCCCTTCTTTCCTTTCCTTCCCTCCTTCCTTCCTTCCTTCCTTCCTTCCTTCCTTCCTTCCTTCCTGGATCTTTCTGGTTCTCTGCACAGGCCTAAGTGCAACTGTGATATTGCAACTTGTGATAGTGCGTAGGCCAACTTCCATCTCAACCCTAGTTTTCATTATGAGGAAATTTCATAGTAATGTGACAGAAGAGCTCAGGAGTTTAGATTCAGAAATTTTGTTAGTAAAAAAAAAGTTTGGTGCAGCAGGAGGTGGGAGATGGAGACATTTGTGAGTCGTAAGAAGGAAGAAAGGGAACAAAAGTGAAGCTGTGGTTGAATTCTAAGATGGATTCTTGTAAAAGAGAGTATCTGTTTTTGAAGTCCACTTTTACTCAGGATACCCTTTACAGGTGTTCCACACATTTCTCAGAATACATGGAATTGTTGTTTTAGTTTTTTTTATTGAAACTTGCTTTGCTACGAATGTCATTCCAAAAAAATAAAATAATATAGATACATTAAGAGAAATACAATAAATCTCACGCACAGTACAAAAGGCAAAACCTACTTAGAGTCCTTTGGGTATGGATCTGGGCAGCTCTTCTTAGTCTCCTTCTTTTTCTGCCCACCCAATGAAGGAGTTCCCAAGTAAACTTGGCCCAATCCATGTGGAGCCTTGGATTGAGAAGAACACCATGAACAATGAGAAATGCACCATGATATTTGCCTTTAGGGGCAAGTAGTTAGGCTTGAGAAGATGTGTGTGATTCAAGCATGTGTTTCTCCTGTTTGCCAACTCTATCTTGAAATCCTGAGGGCCTATGTACACCCTGTATGCAGAACTCTATCATTCCAGAACTATTTTTCCTGACTCTTCTCCCCACAGAACAGGACTGGGGAAAGAGAGATGAGGGAGTGGGGTGGGAAGAGTTAGGGAAACAGCTTGGAGGGTCTATCAAGTAGCAACGTCAGAGAGGAAGACAAATACAGTGGCCCAGGACTTAGAAGGATATTGGCAGCCCTGCATAGCACTACAGTATACAATATACAGTGGTAAGAAAACAGGCTAGTCTACATCTTAGTGTGACTTGTTCTCTCTGAAAGAACAAACACTGTTGCTCTTTTGAAAGGAGTCCACATGATAACACCACCCCTTCAGTTTGGCTCAGAGTTCTTTTGAAGTTCGTAGGAGTCCAAAGGGAAGTGGAAACTCATTTCCTACTTTTTGTCCATTCGGTTTTCTCTCTGCTTACCCTCCCATTTTTAGCTGCAACCACAAGCATCAACAACCATGTCGGGAATGTCTGTCTTGATGAGGTTGCTATTGGGGTCAAAGTACAGCAGAGAAAGGGCCCGTCGCTGTGTGGGGACGCAGCAGGAATGGCCCGCAATGGGGATGTTGTTGGCTTTGACCAAATTGAAGACAGTCGTGTGGAAGGAAGCTGCCACCCCGGGCACACCTGCCAGGTGCATAGGGCATTCGCCCATGCAATAGTTGATCTGATAGCCCTCTGGCTTGAAGATCCAGTCATTCCAACCAATCTCCCGAAAATTTACATAATAGTCTTTTCGACAGCACAAATCTGAGTTCTGGTCACAGCTCAGGCTGCGTTTGGCGACACGATGGCCCAATTCTTTTATCTTCGCCTTCACCACCAAGAATGGCTGGTGGGAGTTGCTACCGGTAGCCATCAAAGACATAATGTTGGGATGGCAGCCTTCGCAGTGCAACTCCAAGCGCAAGGTTTTGTCTTCATGCTCAAAGAAGTTCTGCAAAGCTGGCATGAGGGAGAAAGTGTGCCAACCACTCCCCTGGCTTCCCAGCTGCTGCTGTCCCAGCAGCACTTGTGGCTCTCCTGCGACATAGATCTGTATTGTGATGTTTTCGTGCGCCTTAAGGTGCAGCCATAACTGGGCCTTCAGGACATGCATGGCTTGGTCCTTGGTATGGGTGAGCTGGAACTGAAGGAGGCCAGAAGGCTCTGTGAAGGAGAAGATGGTGAAGGCAAAAATCAGTATCAGTATCCTTTAAGCTGCCAGCCCCAAACCAGAGTTCTTCTAAGGGGTGAATGGGTTCTTTTTTTGTGTGTGGGGGGGGGTCTTTACGTATTTGCTACATTTAGTCTCACTGTCAAAATTTACTAAGAATGTATTACTATTCTTCTTCTCTTCCTTCCTAGTATATATCTCTTCCCAATTATGACTATAACCATGTTGCTTGTAACTTTCAATTTATATTGTTTTTATTTGTTTCCTTTGATAGTACCATTTGATAACTTATTAGTAACCTTGACTATCACTAAGTGTTGTATCTTTTTATTCTTGATGAATGTATTTCATTCTCCTTATGTACACCGAGAGGATATGCGCCAAAGACAAATTCCTGGTGTGTCCAATCACACTTGGCCAATAAAAACATTCTATTCTATTCTATTCTATTCTATTCTATTCTATTCTATTCTATTCTATTCTATTCTTTGTCTATTAATCTGTCTTTAAAAGCATGCTAGGCAAGAACTCCAACAAGGCACCAGGAGGAGATGATCAATGCAGCTTGTTGGATTGAAACCACGAAAAACACTCAGTGAGGTTTTTGTTTTTTTAGCTCAGCTCCTTCTTGAAATAGAGCTACTCAGTCTAAGCAGCCCTAATAGCAACTGCAGTAGTAGTGATCATAATCACAACAGTACCATTTCAGGGTTTCAAGTTATGGGTTTGCAAATAAATGCAAAGAGAGAGAGAGAGAGAGAGAGAGAGAGATAAAATAATTTCATTTTCATCTCTGAACAGCATTATATACTTTTGCCTACTTTAGATATATCTTTGGTGTGACGAGTCTGTACATCACAAAATATGGGTCCTAAATTGTAAACAACCTTACAATAATGTGCTTAGAAGCTTAAATAGGGAAGCTTGCCCAGGATGAGATGGTTGTGTACACATTAAACCTGTTCCCCATACAGTTCCATCAGGTATTAATATAAAAACCATCACAGAGTGAAGTAATTGCATATACATGAATTAAGTCTGAGCACCCTTCAACCCAGCAGTGTTGGGGTTGAATCTGCTCTTGTGTTCTATGTGATGTGTAAGGAATTCCCCAAGAACCTTGAGTTCTGGGGTTTACTGGGCCAAATCCAAAGGATGAAATCAGAAATATGGACAACTACATGAAACACTAAACTAGTAAGACAGCTACACAGCCGTGCAGAATATTCCTGCAGCTACCTGTTTTCTGTACGGGTGAAGAGAGAATGACAGGCAAGCTTCTTTTAAATCTGCTTGTTGGCTATCAAAAGACATTGATGCAAAGCAACCCTTTGACTTTATCCTTTTTAAGCAGCTGCATCCCATTATTTCATCTCAGGTTGCATTTTAAGCAAAGAAAAAATAGAGCAACAGCTGCAGGAAACAAACTTTTTAAAAAAATCTTCAATGACTCTGAGGGGACAGAATTGATTCTTTTGTCCTCCAGATGTTCTGGATCCTTTGGTTTTTAGCTTCTGTTTTTTTTCTTTCACTATAGCAAAACCTGCAATGATAGTATAATATTCCCCAACCCAGTGGCTGCACTGGAACAGGTAAATGGGAATTGTAATCTTTCAACATGATAAGGTTCCATGAGAGACTAAGGGGGTGGGGGTTCATTTGAATACAGTTCTTTTTTTAAAATCATCAGAACCTTATCCCTTAATCAGGGATAGTGGGATTTTATTTCATTTTTTAAAAAAAACTAACAGGTTCCAGTACTTCAAAAAGTTGGAAAACTTCCAATCTAGCCGATTTTAAAGATTCAGCTGGTTGGATAAAGTTATGACAATGCCAAACGTACATATTTCTGACAATAGAAACATGCAGTTCCTTGGCAGAGGAAGTGATCTCTGTGTAGATCTGAGATGCCACAGGAAGCTAGACCTGATGAGAAAGGTGCAACGTGTTCCCATTGATCAGTAGACCCAAAACACACATTAACTTTTCCCTTTTGCAACTGATGCATTCCATAGTCAGGCTCCAACCTAAAACCACAGGATAGATTTCAGGAGTAATATGTAGCCTTCCCTCTCCAAGCACATTTTTATAGGTAGCAAATCATGGAGCAGAGGAACATATACACAAAGGATCTGTGATCTCTGGTCTAGCATATTCAGTCCTTGGACTGCACATTTGGAAGACCTACGGGCACTCACCTGTCTCTGCAAAACTAATGATCTCGTACCCCTGCTCATCAGACTCTGTTTTCTCCCAGCTGGAGAAGTGCCCCATCCCATCTGTCCAGCCTTTGCCCATGTGTAGTCGCCGCAGGGCATTGGCCACCGCCATGCGTGGCACAGGGTGGGTGATGTTGGGCCTCTCGCTCAGGTTCAGTTTCTGGAGTATCTGCTGTTTGGCTACTTCGACCAGGAAGGCTTTCTCGGCACTGGGTTCCAGTGGGGGCATCCTGCAGGAAGGACAACTTGGCTTTCCTTCAACCCAAGCCAAAGACGTCCATAGTAAGGTCAGTGCAGCTAGAGGAGTCCAGCTTCCTTGGAGGCTGTAGGTGGAAGCCATGAAGCACTCAAGTAGGAAGATGCAGTGAAGAATGATGTTGTTAGGAAGTCTAGTGGCAGTGCCAGGAACTCATGGACTGTGCCTCTGCTGCATGCAAGGTGCTTGGCAGTCTGCCTAGAGTCAGGAGAAGACAATCAGCTCCAGCACCTCTTGAGACTTTCTGGTCACCAGGACCTGCTGCTGTTGCCAGAACAGGAGGACTCTCTGCCTTAAGAGATCTCAGCTCATCAACTGGCTATTCCCAAGTGTCAGCCTCCACATTTGTCATTCTGGCAGCCTTGGTCCTGCCCTTTGTCCCTCTGTGATTGGCTGCCTGCCTTCTGGTGCTTAGTGGGAGGTTTTATCCAGATGGGGAGAGAGCCAGAGTTTAGCAAAAAGAGTGGGAATGGGTGCCTGGGGAGAGGAAAGACTGAGCCCCAAACAGGCAGGATGTGAAGGGAGGTGCGAGTGCCCTTTGCTCCAGATGGGGCTGCTGAAAAGCCGTAACATTGGGAGCAGGATGGGGGAAGCTTGACAGAAGAGGAATTCACAGGAAGAGGGGGTTGTCCGTGAGCCCTTTTTTTATATTTTTAAAAAATCTTGCCATGGTGCACTTCATGGTAAACAGTACCTTTGGGATCAAATAAGAGGACTGATATAAAAGATGAATAACATCATGTGCAGTGCGCAAGGAATTTGTGTGTGTGTGTATATATATATATATATATATATATATATATATATATATATATATATATATATATATATATATATATATATATATATATATATATATATTTGTTTGTTTGTTTGTTTGCTTAAGTGTTATGTCAAAGCACCTGGTATGCTAAAATATGGGAGAGAGCATTCTGCTTCACTTTTGCCTTTCAGCTCCACCCTAGGAGTTTTCCAATCAGAAAACAATTTTTGTGTTGCATTTGTACTTATAAATAAATGGAGACTAGTATAGATCTATTTCAAGCTATTTAGCTCTCATCAGCTAGCCATACCCTTACTGGGATTGCCAGTAATTGCCTAACATGTAAAAACAGCCCAGGTTTGAATCTCAGTAAGGGTATGGCTAGCTGATGAGAGCTAAATAGCTTGAAATAGATCTATACTAGTCTCCCTTTATTTATTTATCAGCACAAATGCTACATACATACATACATACATACATACATACATACATACATACATACATACGAAACCAACATAATGATCTCCAGAACGTTTAAAATATATTGCTCACTGAACTTTCGTTAGCAACTGCTAACATCGTCAGAGTGTGAAAGCCATTAAATAGCAGTTGCTAACGAAAGCTCAGTGAGCAATATATTTTAAATGTTCTGGAGATCATAATGAATGTTGGCAGTTCGAATCCCTAGCGGCGTGTAACGGAGTGAGCTCCCGTTACTCATCCCAGCTTCTGCCAACCTAGCAGTTTGAAAGCATGTAAAAATGCAAGTAGAAAAATAGGAACCACCTTTGGTGGGAAGGTAACAGCATTCCGTGTGCCTTCGGCGTTTAGTCATGACCACAGAGACATCTTCGGCTCTTTGGCTTTGAAACAGAGATGAGCAGCGCCTCCTGGAGTCAGGAACAACTAGCACATATGTGCAAGGGAAAGCTTTGCCTTTACCTGTAATAAACTGGAGAGAATGTTAACATTCCACTTCTGCATTTTATATGCTTAATACCAAGCATGGCTTCAAATCACCCGTTTTCATTGGGACGACACTATCTTCCCTCCTGGTCTGCTACCTTGTTCTAGCAACTACTGATTTTCTTCGAACACTTGTGTCTTTTTCAAAACATGCCCTTTAAATCTTAGGCCTAGTGTGAGTTTTTACTTAGAGTCTGAATTAGGCTTTTGGCTTGAAATCCAGCTTGGAGCAATGTTGCAAGAAGCAGAGGAAAAAGTCTGCATTAATTCTAAAGTAGCTACCTTTGGTGGAAATGTTTACTGTGCAGAGAAAGCAAAACAAACTGTTTGATCCCAAAGCGTTAGTAGACCCTGTAGATCAATTCTACTAATCTACCACTTCCCAGAAATGCTAGTGAACTTGAGTTTTCTTCAGCCGGTAAGACTAGAATACAGAGAATGCATTATATTTAGCATGCAATAAATATTATATCTTTAGCACGCAAAAGATAATGCCAATGAACGCTGATGTCCAAGACAGAATATTCAAAGGGCATGACTGCAGACACAGGACAAAGGAAGATAATCTGGATTCACAATTCATACATCATTCACACATCATACATCATTCACACATTCCTCACTGCTAAATTAAAATGCAATCCATTGAATCAACAGAAAACTAAACTGACTAGAAACTTCACAGTCTCCATGTTCAATCCCTATCTTACCCCTATCGCCTCTATTTTTGTAAATGGTATGTGGGAATGACATAACAGAATAACAGAATTGAAGGGACCTTGGAGGTCTTCTAGTCCAACCCCCTGCTCAAGCAGGAAACCCTATACCATTCCAGACAAATGTCTGTCCAGGCTCTTCTTAACAACTTCCAATGATGGCAGCTTCTGAAGGCAAGTCATTCCACTGGTTCATTGTTTTCACCGTTAGGAAATTTCTACTTAATTCCAGCTTGCTTCTCTCCTTGATTAGTTTCCATCCGTTGTTTCTTGTCTTGCCTTCTGGTGCTTTGAAAAATAAGTTGATCCCCTCTACTCTGCAATAGTTTTGTTGGCTGGAAATGATGGAAGTTATCATTCAATAGACTTGGGGTGTATCAAAGTAAAGAAGGCTGCTTTAGTCACCTGTATTCATTATATCTGGATGGAAAACCTGGGCATCCAATGCCATATCTCAATTCATGTGGTGCCCTAGAGAGCTGATCCATACTTCCAAAAGCCCACTATAGGGAGTCCTCAACTTAGGAAGGTAACTGAGCCCACAATTTTGATTGTAAGTTGTGATGGTCTTAAAACGGGTCATTAAGTGGCCATGTCCGATTTTACCATCTTTTCTGTGGGCGGTCATTAAGGAAATGTGACAACTGTAAAGTTATTAAGTGAACACCATGGTCATTAAGCAAACCCATTGTTCGCTATGGGGTGTTTTTCACCAGAAACAAGAAAGAAATGCAGATTTCCAGCAAAACCACTGTAAATTCCAGTAATATGATTACAGGGCACTGCAAATACCTGTAGCAATAGCAATAGCACTTAGACTTATATACTGCTTTACAGCTCTCTCTAAGCGGTTTAGAGAGTCAGCCTATTGCCCCCAACAATCTGGATCCTCATTTTACTGACTTGGGAAGGATGGAAGGCTGGGTCAGCCAGAGGTGGGTTACTCCTGGTTCAGGCCAGATCAGGCGAACCAGTAGTGGCGGCGGCGGAGGAAGGCTTCGCCCACCCAGATGCTTCTGCACATGCACAGAAGCATTGTGCGTGTGTGTGAGCAAACCGGTAGCACCGGGATTTGCAACCCACCTCTGGAGTCAACTTTGAGCCTGGCGAGATTTGAACTGCCATATTGCAGGCAGCCGGCAATTAGCAGAGGTAATCTGCAGTACTGCACTCTAACCACTGTGCCACCGTGGCTGTAAATGTGGTCATGTGACTGTGGAGGGAGAAAGGAACATCAGAACTTTAAATCCAGATCATAAGTCCTATTTTCCACTCAGCGGTGGGATTCAAAATTTTTTACTACTGGTTCTGTGGGCGTTGCTTTGTGGGCGTGGTGTTGCTTTTTGGGCGTGGCAGGGGAAGGATACAGCAAAATCCCCATTCCTTCCCACCCCACTAACCTGCTTTCCAGCTCCGTTCTCCTGTTCAGGGAAACAGGGCCAGCCTATTTGCTGGTTCTCCGAACTACTCAAAATTTCCGCTACCGGTTCTCCACAACCTCTCAGAATTGGCTGCTAAGCGATCCGTCATAAATTGAGGACTATCTACATGTGCTTTTATGCTCTTTTAGTTGGGAAAGCACTTCAAAGAGATAGTAGAAGGCCTGAAAACAGGCTTAGTGAAAGAGTGGAACAGCCTCAGGCTGCTCCAAGAAGCACAAGGGGGGGGGGGGAGAGGCAGAAAATTCTGCCTCCCACCGCATGGCATTTGCATCATCACCCTGCCAATTACGTGATTGCCCTTTAGATGGATACGCTATGCTTCCTCTGTGGCCAATGTCCAGGTGGCCAACCTTTGTACCGCACTTCATTAGCCAGCCATAGAGAAATGGCCCCAACTTCGGCATTCACCTGTGAGCTCGTACAGCTTCCCCATTTTTCAGAAGCCCTGAAGCCCTTATCAGCTGCTAATAAACCCCTAATAAACAAAGGGAAGGAAGGCGGATTGCAAGCACCCGAAGGCTTTGCATCTCTTTATGGTGATGTCTGGCAGGTGCAACGTCACTCGCCTACTGCTCAGGGTTCTGCCACCTTGAGATATCAGCTAAGCTTTGCTCAGGTGTCAAGGTCCCTCACCTGATTTTTCGATCATCGTGTCTCATCTCCAACTCCATAGGTGGAACATATGATGCAGATTAAGAAAACGTATTGCAAAGCTAACTTCAGAATCATAATTCTGGTTGCAAAACCAGCCTGGAATTTTTCTTCTGTTCTTTACACCTGGCAGCTTAAAGGTAAAGGTAAAGGTTCCCCTCGCACATATGTGCTAGTCATTCCCGACTTTAGGGGGAGGTGCTCATCTTCATTTCAAAGCCAAAGAGCCAGCGCTGTCTGAAGACGTCTCCGTGGTCATGTGGTCGGCATGACTAAACGACGAAGGTGTACGGAATACTGTTACCTTCCCACCAAAGGTGTTCCCTATTTTTCTACTTGCATTTTAACTGCTAGGTTGGCAGAAGCTGGGACAAATAACAGGAACTCACTCCATTATGTGGTGCTAGGGATTCGAACCGCCAAACTGCCGACCTT